TTTATCTGGACATGTGCTGAGGGTTGTAATACCCAGAATATAACCACAAGTGCCAAAGAAATCCTAGACAATCACAAGAAAACATTCTGAAATATTACTCAAAATAGGTGAGTAACACCTCGGCTCAGATACCCTGGGTTGCATTGATGCAGAAGAAAATTGACCATCTGGTACAAATAAAAAAAAAAACTACCAAATGTTGAAAGTACACTTCTGCCCTTGTTTAGTCTCAGTGTACTGTTTTGTGATCTCCACATTCCAGGTCGTTCCGTCCGTTTTGCCCTCTGCTTCAGCCCTGTCAGCCCTCAGGAGTGCAGCTGTGGGCAGTCTGGGCCATCCATCTGGTCTGCAGTCAAAACAGTAAGACGCACAAACACTAGGTGGACTACAGGGAGCTCGGGGTTACTGTCGTTGTATCCCAGAAGCCATTTTGATGTAAAATAGAGCTGGCTTTCACTCGGTGGTTAATTACGTTACGTAAAATACTACATTACACCTCATGAATGTATTCATACTGACCGTCTGGTTTATTAATAGTTAGGCGGTGCCGAGGTTGGGGCTCCATTCCTCTCTCATCATCCTTTCTTCTTCATCCTCTTAGCTCCACATTACAGCAGCATGCTGGAGAAGGAGGGCCTGACAGAACTTCTTAAAGCTTTGGCTGCACATCCCGACACGCACAGCGACATTAAAGGACTGTCAGACAAAATCTTGGGAATGGTGGAGCAACACCAGAGTCACTGTGGAGCATCCAAGAACCAGACGGAGCCTCGAAAGTCTTGACGAAAGTGTAAAGAAATATAGATTTAATTTCATTTATTGTCTTTGAGCTGCATCTAAAATGTGCTCGCAGATGCAGAATTATAGTGCAGACTCTTCGTGTCGACCCCGATGTTGAATAGAACAAACTGTGTACCATATTCTGTAAATTATAAATGGAGAGTATGAATTTTGTTTATGTGACTGTCTGCTTTTAAATTGTTGATGTAGATTGGAAACCAGATTTGTTGTTTACAGAGAGCGGTGAGCATCCTAATGAACATTTGCTCAATTCTGAGGTCAAATTGCTACTAGACCGAGTGTCTGAGCTTAATGGAGTGTTCCAAATTAACTGAAGCTGGAGGCGAAGATTGTGTTGTAAATCATGCATAGTTCCGAAGCGGGTCACTAGAGGGCGCTGCGGCACTGTAGCTTTGGGGCTGTTTTGCCCTTTTGAAGCGTTTGTGTAAAAGTCATTAAATGTGTAGATTCGAGATCGTGTGTGATAAGTGACAAGACGCCAAAGCAGGCCGAATCTGATGCTGACACATTATAAAGCCCTGGAAAATAAGTTCCATCTCCTCCTCTTCCTCTCTCTCTGTCGTGCTCTCTCTCCCTCTGGTATCCTAGATGCAGAATTCATTAGATTTTATGTAATGCAGCTGGAAGACAGAAGCGCTCATAGGCATCTAGACTGTCTATTATAAGTTGGCCTATTAATAATTCCTTTTGAAAGCTGGATTAACAAGCTCACATAAATATTTGAGTTAAACCACCATGTTCAACTTTTAAGTGTCAAATCCCCCCTGATTCACCTTCTCTTCCAAATCCCCCTAAAGGAATTCAAGGGGATCTGCTAAATAGAATGTGGCTTTGCATGCACAGTGATTCAGCCAGGTTAGTCACTTCCTCGCCGGCGGCAGGTTATTTGTTCGGAAAAAGAGCTGCAGAGGCCGATACGGGATCAGCGTTTAGGAGCAGCTCGCCCTCCAAACATTAAATCCACGGCAGCAATGCTGCGGGATTAAAGGTCAAGCAACCTATAGCGAACATGATGTGATGTTATCATGAGGAGTTCAAGCCATGAGAAGTGTGGGGAAAAGTGCACCGCTGTCTGGAGGCCATAGGTTATTCTATAGTGGTGGCTTTGCAATGGAGTCAGATGTTTAAGTAGAACAGAAAGCACGTGAGGAAGTAAAGCGAACTGAGAGGCTAATGGTGATGTGCACTGTGTTAATCAGATCTTAAGTTTCTGTCTGTGGTTTAAAGAATCTATCAATATTTAAGTGACACACAAGACAGACACAGAAAGACTGGAAAGAAGAAATAACAGGAAGTAGTTCAGCATTTTGGGGCATGCTCTTATTAGTTCATTTAGCTCCGCACAAAGGCTGAAAACGGGGGCGAAAGAGCCAACCTGCTAAAAATCCAAGCATCTCTGTAGCTCGCTAAATCATTTCATTCGTACCAGAATCGCAGATGTTCTGTGAAGCGCAGAACAGAAGGACAGGCGCTGGCGAAAAGCTGGAAATAGACGCGGCTATAGGAAAAATGACAGGTGCAAAAATACCACTTATGGCCAAAAATATCTTTGGAGGCGATAAATAAAGCAAGGGAGGGATAAAGAAGAGACACGCCGGAGATAAGAGTCAGTCAAAAGAAATTAAAAGTCCTCTTTCATGCTCCTCGATTGTCAGTGTAAAAATACCGCAGACCAATTTTCAGATTCCCTGTCTCAGTCTGAAATATCTACTGTGCTGCTTTTGAGTTGGAGCTTAGTGTGAGTAAGCATGTCGTTATCTCACTTGTGCAGCCCGCTCTATTGGATTAACACAACTGTGAACTGGTCTGGGCACCCGGAGTACACTAGCGTACAATGCAACACATCTCCAGCTGTGAATGCGTTTGTATGCATGATGAATGCGTGTGTGTATGTGTGTGTGTGTGTGCACGTCGGCCTTACGGGTTTTCGAAGCTAATTAGACACCGACTAACCTTCTAAACACCCAGAGAGCAAAAGAGGAAGAAAGTGCATTTAAAGAGCAGGAAGGGAAGTTGAACAACAAGACGAAGCCCAAAAAATAAAACAGAAAGAAAAGAAAAAAGAAAAAAAACAACCAACACTTCTCCAGGCGAAACTGTGACGCACAAAAGGACACACTAACTCCTCTGGAATGACCTTTTATTGCTGGGGAAGGATACAGAGTTGGCAGGCCCCTGAGCCTGTGTGCAGATATGGAACAGCAGTAGGACCATCCTTCCCTCTGCCAATTGGAGGCAGGGGTTTGCTCGTCTTTACCATCAATCAATTGCAACTTCCCCAGAGGAGGGACAAGTAGAGCTCGTCAATATCAAGTCTAATAGAAAACATTACAGCGTTGTGACAGGATTGAACACAATAACTTCAGTAATTTGCAGTGAATCCCAGCTAACAGATAACATAGTGATACTACGATGGAGAAAAATGAGGAACACTGCTCATTCCTCTCCCTCTTTCTGTGACAAATCAGCAAAGCGAGTGACAGTAGAAAACAGGAGTTATACGCTGTTTGCATGTTTACAAATGTAAGCATAAGAAATAACTTAATATAAGTTGCAGCGGTTCCTTTATGTTCCAGTGCATGTTCCAGCTCAATGCAGCTGTTTGGGGAGGGTTGTTTTGTGCTGTCATCCATGTGGCAGTGATTAATGATGACATTTTCATGAAATAACTGAAACACAGGCACCCATTTTCCAAGCACCAGTTACTGGAATATATCCCTCATCTCTAACTTTGGTGTAAGTCATTCCACGGCTCCATGACTAAAGGATTTTCTTCCAATTTTGTACATATGTGTGTGTGTGTGTGTGTGTGTGTGTGTGTGTGTGTGTGTGTGTGTGTGTGTGTGTGTGTGTGTGTGTGTGTGTGTGTGAGAGTGAGCCTGTTTGTAAGTAGATGCGTCAGAGGGCTATTACGGTCGGTTAGAGCCGGTCTTACTTGATGTCACATCTCCCATCTGCAGGCATTTTGCAGTGGCCAGTTTGCCCTCAGCTCAGTGGATGCACACAATGGTGCAAAAATATGACTTACACAACCACAGGCAGGAAACAGGGCTGCCGGAGCTTCTGGATCCAAAGGCTGTGTGCGTTTCCTCGTCTACTCACTGAACTGGCTCGGAGTCACAGCTGTGTTACTGATGTGACCATAGCCAGCTGAGTGCATCTCTGTCCTCAGGCAAATCCTGACCACTACCTCGGCTTGGCCGCGCAGTGAGAAGAAAACAAATATCCACTCTCAAGCACAACAACAATATTCCATGCTTATTTACTATCTCAAACCCATAGCATTTTGTGTTTTTTTTTTGTTTTTCTTTGCTTTCTTGCCAAGAGTTAGATGAGAAGATTGTTGTTGTTGACATCTTCCCAGATTGCTTGAAGGCATCTGCACCCATGTGGTGTGCGTCCTAACCATCGGGCTATCGAGTCACGCATTAGCGCTCATGTTTGCATTGTAAATATGAAGCTAGAGCCAGTTGCCACTTAGCTTAACTTAGAATAAATACTGCAACCAGGAGGAAACAGCTGGCTCAGTCCACCGCCACCATCTTAAAATATAAGTTGTAGATATGCAGGAAACTCTACTGCACGTGTAAAATGGTTGAAGTTTTTTCAACATGTGTTTCTTTATATGTTTAAACACATATTATTAGTGAAACAAGCAGTTAAACCCAAATGCAGTGCACTTAGAGTCAAACACTCAGAGATCGGTGCATTTCCAGGGTTTAATTGGTTAAAAAAAAAAAAAAGAAGACGAACCCAAAGAACAAATTCTGTCAATTTGCAGGTTTTTCTGTAGCATTAAGGCCAATTTATGCTTTCCAGGTACACCTGACTTAACAGTTATCATCCCCCTAAATCCATGAGAGTCCATTCAAACCCCTCTAAGAATTAGTGACCACACAGACTGGCTGCACTGCAAGCTCACTGACTATTCATGGGCACCAAATGGTGTCCAAAACTGTTTAGAGGAGAGACTGTTGGTCATCCACACCTTGATGGTTAATCATGAAGAGTTTTAATTAGGCACAAGCAGCTGCTGCCAGACTTTGGAGGTGCTTTGATTTGTACATGCCTTCCATCAACGGAGCCCGAACACAGTGGGAAACTCTGCCTGCCCATTGGCTCGACACGCCGCGGGAATATTTACTGACAAGGTGTAACAGCCCAGTCTGTAAGTAGTTAATACATCTTCTGAGAAACTGCCCCATGCGTTTCTGTGTAATAGGTATTAGGACAATGTGCAGACTGGCATGGACACGTCATAGAATGAACAGCTGCATCTATAGTCTGCTTTCAAAGTCCAGATTGATGTGACGTGGAAAGCGTTAATTGGCCTTATTCTTCCTCTGTGTGACTGATTTACTCCAATAGTACAACCTGCCGCTGTGCAGTGTACATTAGTTTGATAATGCTTTGATAAAAAGCGAGTGATTGGCAAAGAAAGAAGCGGGGACTTCATTGATCTGCACATTTTAGGGGAAACAGCCATTTCCATTTTTTTCCAAACAACATTTGCCATTTTCAGACACCAAGGCATTATGTTAGAGGATAAAATTTCTAAATATGTACCTCTGATACCAATGACCAGTGAGACACTTCAACTTTATCTGTCCATCTTTATGCTCCACTAGGCTACCGCTGGCTGTAGCTTCATATAGACACAGGAGTGCTCTCGTTCCTCTCATCTTACGCCCAAAAAAAAGACAGCAAATAATCACAATTTCTGGAAATTTTGCACCTAGGTGTTTCACGGTGTGGGATGATGCTGTTCTGGTTAGTGTCAGTTATACAGCATTAGTGAGAGTCCTTCTAAGCTTTTACACAGTATGTTCTACCCAGAGGTGATTCGTGTTGGAGGCAGAACTGATGCTTTTGTCTCTGCGCGTTTAAGCATATTCATACATGTGCCTAAAAACGGGGCGAGTGTGAAGTGTGGGGGTGTGAAAAGTGCAAAAAAAAAATAAAAAATTCTGTTCATCCACCTAATACATTAACAAAGTTCTGCAAAATTCACCTGCCGTACAACACTGTTCACAGGGAGCGATCAGAACCAGGTATGTGCCTTGTGGCGAGCGTGCAAGAACAGCAGCTATGTACATGTTTACTATGGAAGGGAGACGCGGGTGTTCCTTGTCGTTCCATGTGTGTCACTGTGCTGACATGAATTAGGGCAACCAGCTATCCTATTTCCAGTCTGCGCCCTCACCCTTGCCTGTGGCGTCACATGGCCTAATCAGTGAGCTGAGCAGAATGTAATACGTCTATCGAGTATATGCGCGTATCCTATGCGGATATAGATGAGCGTTTAGTACACAGACCTCAATACACATGCACATTATGCGATGCATTTTGTAAATACAGAAGGAAACCCATGCAAATATTACACCCAAAGCTGTAAGATCCAACCAGCGGTGGAAATGTTGGGAGGCGTCTCAGCGTACTGCTTAAGTAGGCAACTTACAGGTACAGTACATGGGTCACTATCTCGGATTGACACTGTTGGCGTCCAGTTACGTCTGCCATGCCATTATGTTTAGACTGGTACATGCATAGTTATACATACTGCTATGAGTCAGGATCACTCCTTTATACCAGGAGGAGACTAAGCAAGAACATATAAAATTCATTCCTGAGTGTCTTATATTAGTTTCCTCTTCTATTAACAACATAATCCGCTAATTCCTGCAGCAGGAAAACTCCGCAATAGACATTTTCAACAGCAAACACTTGGTCTTTAATTACACACAAGCTCTAAATGTCTGCTGCAGAAAAACGTCTTTAACAGGCAAAGCAGAAAATGAGCTTTGACTGCTGCTCGGCCATCCACAGACAGCATGTTTATACCGTCTGCTAAACTATTATTATTCTGTTGAGTCATTTAAGAAACCACTAAACTTTCTGTTTTGTTCATTTTTGGAAAACAATATGAACGCGAAGGTGCCAGTGAATGTGTGAAGAAAGGTTTTCTCGGAGAAAGGCAACAGATTGTGCAGAGTCAGAGTGCACATTAGTTGCTCTGTCTTCAACACATTTTCAGCTTAAAACTACCAAATGCTAACAATCCAGTTCCTCCATATGACATTTGGTGGTACCACTACTACGTAACACCAACGAAGCTGGCATTTTACCAGCAGACATATGTTACTAATGATGCTAACAACGGCTCCGTTCTGTTCAAGTCCAACGCAATAAGCCATGAGAGTGTACTGATGAAACTGAAGCAGCTAAATGTATCTGAGCTGTCACAACAGTTGACTCCCCACGCTTTCAGTATAAACAGCAGAACACAAAACAATGCAAAAAAAAAAAAAGCTAGTCCAACCATTTGGAGAGAACGCCTTCCCTCTCTGGTCCCTCGGAGGTTTAAATGTGTTCTTTAATAAAGTAAATATTTCTTAAACAGAGCCGATGGTACAGATGCAGTTACAGAACACGGCATGTCAGGGCAGCCTATCGATCTTCCTGTTCCTATCTGTTCTTTCCTCAGTTCTTAACAGTCAGGGTCAGTGGAGTGTTACAGGCAGATAACTAGAGCGCAGAAATATGGAAAGTTTGTGATGTGGAGCATCACAAACACAGCACGCGTTGATATTTACCACTGTGGACAGAAATGATTGCGCTCCCTGTTTTTCCTACAGGATTAAGTGCCTTATTAGCTAAAGAACGGATGCAGATGATTCATTCAACAACAGGGTTGGACTAAATTCACTCAAGTCAAAGAGTAAAAAAAACCAAAACAACAACAACAACAACAACAAAAACTCACTTGCTAGAAAATTGAGAGAATTCATTGTTTCTAAATCAAAGTCTCTTTTTGTTTGTGGCAGAAAAAAAAGATTTGCTTTTTTTTTTTTTAATTAACTAAATGTGTCATCCTCAAAACATATACACACACCTCGTAAGGCTTTTTGGTGCGTCAACAGTGCATGCAGAAACAGATAGAACACTGCACTCAAACCAGTTACCCAACAAAGAGAGGATGAAACAGAAATCAGTTATCACACTGTCCTGTTTACTTGCGATCCAGCGGGGCCCACTGCCAAAACAGACCTCGGCAGTTGGCACATGTTGGCCCTCTCAGCTTCACAAATACTGTAGAACCTCAACACAAATACCTCGGCTGCAGTTTTGTTTCTGGGCTAATAATTGAGGAGAAAGCGGTAAATGATCAGTACAAAAGCCACACACCACAAGACCGACTTGTGTGCGAAAAGCTTAATCACACATACGGCTACGTCATACGCTCTGTCGTGTGCAGCCACGGCACACATTTATTCACAGACACGGACATAAATGCATTGCATAAAAGCAGTCCATCATCCTTTCCTGGGAAGAATGACAACAAAACATTTTGAATTTTACAGAGATGCTGTCAAGTTGTGAAACAATTCTCCTCCTCTGCTGGGTGCCGTTATGAAGGTCCCTCAGGAGAACTGTCACTGTGCAACCAATGCTATGCTAAAGAATGCTAGAAGGGTCTAGAAGCTGATCCAATTAATTGGTGTAGATCCAATTAGCTCAAGTATGAGAACAAACATTTGTCTTGCAACACTAGTTTCATGTTTACTTCAAAGAATTTGGCAAAATACTTTATAGTTCCTAATAGTTAAAGTGGTTTATTTTGGATACTGAAGCAAATTAAATTGTGTCAAAAGGTCAAGCTAGTTCAGTTGTCTTAGCACTATATAAAGACTGGGGGATCGAGAAGGTAGATTTTGACTATGGTTCACCTCTAACTAACAGTCAGACTTAAGCTAGATTTCTAAACTTGGGCAAAGCTTTCTACCTTTTGATGAAGTTAATTTTTGTCAAACCATTAAAAAAAATGGCTGACCAGCTACCCATGGACCAATATACCTTGTGGCTAATTTTGCCCAGTGATCATTCACAGTAAGGAAGTAAAAAATTCCCATAAACCAACATTATGAAAGAGATGCTTGTAAAAATGTCAACAGGACACCTCCGCCTGTCACCAAGACTGTTTTTTACTCTTGCTATCATAAGTTCCTAAGACCAAAACCCAGAAATGTGAGTTTTATATTTTGCCTAAGCAGGAAGAATGTAACAATACAAAAGAAAAACCCTGATTTAGAAAAAACATGCAGCCACAGTCAAAAAGACTCTCTCCTTTCTAATTGCTCGCACCACAGTCTCACCAGTAAACCACAAATTACAGTCATGTTCCCTCCTTTTAGTCAGCTGGTGTCAGTGGTGACTACATTTTAGTATGGAAACATGGGTCTATGGTGCCTTCCAATGGCATTTACTGTGTTCACGAATTCATATAAACGTCCCCGGTCTCCATGTCTGAAGCGTAAATTTTCAGAAAGCTCAGAGTACATAAGTTGTTACGTGTTTGCTAACGTTTTCAGAAATAGTAGCAGCAACAAAACTTCATTTTTGAGTATATATATATTTTACTGCCGTTTTATTATGTATGAGAAAATGTACATAATCCCAACAGCATTATTTTCTCATTGTACCTTTGCATTTCCCACAATACGTTACCTGCTTGCTAGCTTGCTAATTGCTTAGGCCCAGTGGCTTCCAAACGCCGACAGTTACGTATGTGTTGCTGTCATCTGGCGTTTTGGTCGATGTTGAACTCCAAATATTTGGTGTACAAGACCTTCCCTGTTGTAATTACAAGCTGAAAAGTTCCACTTTTCAAAGATTGCGTTAGCCTGGGGATGGATGGCTAACGCTCTAGCTTAATATTTAGCTTTAGCTTAAAATGAGTCAGTTTACATTTTTGTGAAACTAATAGCTAATTTTTAAGTGGCCTAGCAATACAGAACAGTCTAAAATGTCTTTGTGAACCTGGACCCAGTGTTTGTACCAATTTTATGAATTAACACAGGCCTAAATTGACTGAATTGTCCTGGCTTAATGAGTATGTTATTTAAGAACATGACTGGCTGCTTCCATGTTAACCAGTTCTATGGATATGGGTTGTTTGTTTCAACAGGCATTATCATGTCTCACTCAAACCTGACACAGAAATCAACAACATACAAAGTCATATATTTGCATATATGGTTTATACAAGCACTGTGGACCTCCACTACAGCCCCTACAGTGTGTGTTACACCACCTGGAAGCCCACTACACATGAGTAGAAAGACATTCCTCGTCTCTGGTCAATCCCCTCCCTTCTCTTTCAGAGCTGAGCCGGTTACACAGACTCAGTTTGACAGTTTCGTTGGACTTCACAGACAGTCGTGGAAGGTGACAGGAGGCACTGTGGGAATCCATGGCGCGCAGGGTCGAATTAGGTCCTTTAAACAGTATGTGAGGTTTTTAAATCCCCATTGTCATGGCCACTCCTGGCCCTCGAGGGACGGCTCGCTTCGCCGCCTTCCTCGTCGTCGTCCACGTCGAGCTGCTCGTCCTTCTTCTTGATGTAGCGCTCATAGAGCACCATGATGACACCCATCACCCAGGCCGACACGGTGCCGGCGGCAAAGATGACAAAGCCGATGACAACAAAGAAAAGGTAGTCCCAGGAGCCCAGAGTCTGGTGACACAACGTCCGTAGCTGGATGCCCACCTCACCTAGACGACGGCCCTGCATGTCAGCAGGTGAACCACACACCGTCTGGCCCTCATCTGTCACACAAACACACATCGAGGACGGATGATGAGGATTAATCACGCAACAGTGCAAATATATCAGCAGTTTTGCAAAGTGAATAATGTAATCATGTGATGGTTATCTGTGACAACAAAATGCACAAAAATCCAACCTTATGGTGTTACAACAAAGTCGATATCATAAACAGGGTTTGGATTTCTTCATGCCTTCAATCCAGGACGCTGACATCCCGAATACCCAAGGCGTCAATTATTCCTTGACATGACCAAATAAAACGACCATCCATCAAGTTTTTATTAAGGGTTATCTGCCTCATCGGTACTTAGTGGGTGTTGTTTGGTCGGATTTGATTGAGGATGATGACAACGACATGCTGACGGCTGATTGATGCAACAAAAAACGTGGCATCATTTTTTTTTTTTACCAACACATATCAAACCAGTAAGAAAAGCAACTATAAAAACTATACAAGGCTGTAGCCATGGAGGGGAGAACTAATAAAGATTTAGAGGTTCCAGTGACAATAGAGACATGACGTTACCTCAGTCACAATCTCACAATCTTACAATTTCTGAGGTGCAGACGTTGAGGTGGCAGGCATTTCCAAGCACATTTGATTACTGGGTAGGAGACAAGCCCTAAAAATATTCAACTATTTTATGTAAGAATTAAATCGAATAACTGAAAGAAAATACTGAGATCAAGAGAGGGTAGAGATTATATTTTGCTTTCAAAGCCTTAAATGTGTTTCCCCGCTGAGCTCCTTTGGACATATTGAGTAACTTAACCTACCTATAGAGGACATATACGAAACCATGACATATAATTTGCATTACGTTTGGAAGGATCCTTTGATGTTGTAAGAGTTATAACAAAATGCAAAGTAACTCAGCAAGGAAAATACTGTATGGCATTAAACAGAGCAGCCTGCTGAATAATTCAGTCATATGACTACATTTCATTTCGCACAGCATCTGTAAATGGCAGCAAACTGAGCTTAAGATATCCATGACACACTCAGAATCACACGGCAGAGAAATTCAAACTAAACTAGCATAACAATGTGAGCTTTTTTCTTTCTTTTTTTTCATAAATCAGAAAACTACAAGGCTTTAGGAGCTTCCGTGTTCCAGAGTCTTGAGTAGATGCTGCATTAAATTACGAAAAGAAAAAAAAAGAAAAAATTGAGGATGAATTATTCAAAGTTCTTTTCCCTGCACAGGATTAGAGAGTGACTTGGGCCTTTGTGTCTGCCTGAAACCACAGATAATAAGGTTTCTCATCAGCCGGCATTGGGTCTGACTACAACTAAGACGCAGCTGAAATCCACAAATCCTCACAAAACGTCGAGTTCCCTCTCTTTCACAAAACTGGAAGGATATACTGTAATTTCAAAGGCCCATCAGTCAAAATTAAATACACCACATGATGGGTGTCGAGCTCAGCAGCAGCTGACAAGAGAGGCATTTTTCGGAAAATAATCCCGTAGGCTGGCTCAGTCTTTTGTTGCGCTGAGCAGAAACTGCAACACAACAGAGTGCTGCCATTTCCATACGGCCACTGTTTTTAATTGGCTTCTGTTTTTTTTTCAAAGCTTTTGTGCTAGGGGGAATTCCCACTGGGAGAGATCAAAAGAATTGAAAGTTTCTGCTCAGGGAACCGTTTTCTGTAACCCTATTTCTGCACCGGCGGCCTTGAAATACACTTTCATTTTGTTGGCATGTTTTGCTGTGAGAATGTGGTTAGTGCATAGGCTGCATGAACTCTAAGAGGTGCTGCTTTGGCTCTCTGCTCACTGTATGATTTGTTATTTCAGGAAAATAGCACAGAATAATTGCATACTTTCTGTATTATGCTTAGATTAGCACCTCATTAATATTCAATGCTACATATTGTTGATTTTTCCTCTTCTGTAAGTTAATATGTAGATTTGCATTGAAGGTTTTCTTACTGCATGCAGAGCTGTGTCACTGCACACCTAATGAAGCCTAATAATCTCTCATACATCTACCCACTCACTAACACCACCTGTCATTTTCCAAATGAGTGAATTTCATCTGATTTTAAGGTGGATATTAAGCAACATCACACAAAGGCAACACGATCAGCCTTAACATTAAAACCACCTGCCTAATGGTACGTATACTCACAGGATCTGTCATTTCCATGCTTCCCATTTATTGTAAGCAGTTGTGCAAAGCCTTCTGGTGGCATGTTGTGCTCAGGACGTCATGTTTCCCGCTCCAAGTTTGCATAAAGTTTAGGTCTAGGCTACTTGATGCATTCAGGTGTGCCACTAGATGCCTGTGGAAACTCCAGAAAAATGTTTTAATTGCCTTAAATGTAGAAGGATTAAGCAACTGTACGGCTTATTTCAGAAACATCTTGGTGAACTGTTTACCTAAAATATGCTAAATGTTCCAAATGAGCCACCATGTTGGTCTGGTTTGAAATCCAGGAGCAGACTACGAGTGAATCTGGTCAATCCAATCAGGTGCATCCAAGTTGTCCTGGTTTCATGTTGGAGAGCACCAGTCAATCGTCAATCCTGACACTATCTAGTCATCTGCCCATTAAGCATCCAAATTCTGCGACACACCGTGACCCCCTTACGTTAAAAAAACGCCACTGTAGACCCGTACCATAGTACTGTGTCGGCCAACCTTGTGGAACCAAATCAATTCTGATCCAACAGGCGCTTTACTGCTGGTGGCACTGAATCACTAACAGCAGCTCTTTAGGGTCCATTGGGTTGTGGGGTGGGTCCTCTGTGGATCAGGTTTGAGCTGAAGCATCCTGCAGATGCTCCTTTGGACTGGGATCTGGGCTGTTTGTCGTGCTCCTCAAGACGAGTGTGAGCAGTTTTTGTTGTTGTGTGTGGCAGGGTGTGGGACACTGGAGTCGGGGAGTTTCCATAAGGAAGTTCTGCTTGGTCTAAACAAAAATGTTTAGGCTGGCAGTACGTCTCAAAGTAACATCCACACCAACAACAAGAACCAGCAGAACACTGCACTGTAACAACATGATCAATGTGATTCACTTCGCCTGTCAGGAGTTTTGATTTCGTGGCCAATCAGTGTATATTTTTGTGTTTTACACACAACTGAACTGTCAGAGTCAAGGTCAGTTTGCTCTCGAGCTGCACCATCTGAAGCTGCAGAAGCTTTTTGAACCTTCACTTTAAGCAACCTGGTCCAACAGTGTATGAGCTTTAGCTAACTACCAAACTACTCTTCCATTATTTTTCACTAAGCTGACTATTTTCACTATCTGAGTATTACTTCTAGCAATTCTACATGTTTCTGCATTACTTGCAGCTGCTATCCTTTACTCATTCACATTGGATGACTACATTACCTGTTTATGCAAGTCATCAACTGTTTAATCAATACTTTTGCACATTTATTTCATGATATCTAACAATATGCATAACTACCAGTTGTTATAAACTTTGTGTAAAAACCACAGACTGTATATAAAAGATGGGCATAGCTGCAGATTCCGAAAGGTGAAGCCAATGCCGAAGTGCCTTGGAGTGCAGTACCACTGAGGGTCACTAGGTGATGCTTCCACACAAATCTCTGGCTCCAGACTCTGATTCAAAATGAGACAACTTCTCACATGAAATATTAAGTCAGTGCATTTTCCCAACAAGTCACTGTGACGTGATTAGCTAAGTTAACTCCTCTTCATCAGTGTACTGGTGGACCTTTTGAAAATGACTCCACAACTAAACAAATATCAAGCCTCAAACAGAGGTATGACTGGGGGTGTGACTGGCTTGATTTACATACCTGGTTTGTGGTGATTGACAGGCTGTTTAGATGAGGAGGGCCTGCAGGGTCATTCACATATACTGTACGGTAAAAACTGACTCAGGTTGGTGGGAGGTGTGATTTGACAGAGGGTGAGAGGGATCATGGTGTTGCTTTCAATCAAATTGTGCGATAATTCAATTTCATAGGATGACTGAAATGTACATTTTCCTAATATTTTATTCATTCAGTGCCTAAATCTGTCCTCAGAGAAGCTCTTGTGTGGCTCGCATACAGGAAAATGAGCATGCCGCTGAAGAACACGAGGACGATCTGCTTCTCTAAGCTCTCCACCACAGAAAATTCAAAGTCTACACTGATCCTCTCAAAGGCTGCTGCTGCTGCACACTGTTCACACAATATGCTGTTAGGATCCAACTACAGACTCACACACTCCTTCTTAACATAGATGCCTCCACAATCCCCCTCCGCGAGATTTAACTTTTCAGTCCTCTATCTGTATCCTTGCAGATTCTGTTCGTGGGTGCACGTGTTTGTGTGTTTGGATGTGCCTGACAGCTAGGAAGGAAACCCTTCTGGCTTCTCCCCCCGCCTCATTCCCCCCCAAAGGGACTGGCATCAAAGGAGAGGGCTTTCCCTCTCTCCTTCCCCCATCCACTCTGTGCTCTATTTCTAGACGCTCTCCTTATATAACAGCTGAGTGAGTGCTAATCTAGCCAGGAAGGCGAGACAGAGGAGAATCTGTTGGTTCCTTCCTGCAGCTTTATTTCTCCCTCCTCGTCTCTCTCTCTCTCTCTTGCTTGCTATTGATGCGTTTCCTAAACCGAGGAGACAAGCGAGCCATGTTGCATGAACCAGGTGAGACCCAGACGAGAGATAACAAGGCTTTGGAGACAGAGCTTGCAGCCGAAAAACAGCCGTCTCCAAAATGTTACTCTGCTGTTCCACGCCCTCAAGCACTAAAAGTGTGCTTTATCTGCGTTTGTGTGTCCAAATGCGCGCATCAGTCGACGTGTACGTGCGTGCACGCGCGCCCTCGTGCGAGTTTCTAGGTTTCGTCTGTGCTGTTGTCTCCTTGAAAAAAGATGGACAGACTGCGTGCATGGAGGTAGGGAATGTGTGTATCTATGTGTCCGCCTTCTCCCTCGCTGGCAGCTGTCACTGGAAGAGGCTCCACTCCAAATTAAGCTAGACAAAAGGCGATGAGCGGCAGGAAAATAGGACAGCTCTTGCAGGACTCGTTTTGGACTCAACCTAAGCTTCACAGGGACCATGGTGAACTATAGTGAGGGTGTGTGTGAGTGTGGGAGACAGAGAGGAGCAGGGGATGCCTTTTTAGTAAGCGTGGCGGTTGTATTATAGCCGTGGCGTTAGAATTATGACTGGCTTCTTGTTCAGTAAGACACACTATAAATAGCAGATGCCCTTTTGCATAGTGACACATCCACTAATGCACAAACATAATAGCTCAAAAGGATGAAAGATTATGGAAAATCAGACGCATCTATCAGCTTGACAGTAATAAAACAAAAAGCGAGGGATCGATATTTGATGGTGCAACTACGATCCATTAATCACACCTGCAGCAAAAGTATCCCACCAGCTGAATAGAATAGAGATTGATTAGTCATTTCGAGATAAAACACTATCTTGTTTTCCTCCAAGATTGCAGAGAGCAGAACTGAATTAATGAACAGAGTTGCCAGAAGAGAAATCAAGTAGCTCCCTGCCTACGATCTTCTTTCACCCTCTTTGTTATTTGATACTCTGAATGCTGTCACGCTTCGCTGCTGTCACCTGCGACTCATCCCACTGAAAGCTGAGAAAGGGGCCAACTTTGCAGACTTCACCAAACTGCATGTAGCTGAGTTGTGGTTTCACGTGTGTACGCGGCACGCATACAGCAACGTAGCTTTTTCCACATAGCATTGCCGCTGATAATAATGCATGTTGTGGGAGACGATGTGGACATTATCATAGAGGGAAATCCAGCATTGAGGCCTCTGCATGTGTTTGGAAAGACTTAAAGTGGGGTTGAACACGCCCTATGTCTTTCCCTACACAATTTTTCCTGACCTCTATGGAGAACGTCATGGAAGGCGAGATGCAAAGGAGAATTCACAAGGCTACTTAACCATGCAAAGGTAGATGCTGCTGAAGTGGGTCTGCTGCAGATGGTTCATCACTTTGAATGTTGTTGCCGCAAGGACTTGTGGGACGGCATTAGCTCCGTTCCTTTTGTATGCAAGTACGGCCCAGTGTATCATATGTTAAAGGACATAAGAAAGGAAGCAATGAAGCACCTTTTCCTTAGCATTACGAGAATTCATCCAGCTGCCTCTTAGATACTTCCGGGTCACTTCACTCAGCTACAAAGCTTCCTAAGCAAATACAAAAAAAAAAAAGGCTATTCAACTGCAACCATGGAGGCATTATTTCCCTGTAAGGCTCCGAGGGAAGGCTTTATTGCCATTTTGTTAGAAAAATACTTTAGAATTTTTATTTTTTTAAACCTCATTTTACTTTATACGTGTTAAATTAAATGAAAAACAACAGCTTTCGGGCGGCCGAGCTGTGAAAAATCCTCCTGGTGGATGTTTTCACATGTTGGAGGAGGATTACAAACAGACAGGCAAAGTTGGAGACGGCTCTAGAAACCGAGAATTTGCTGGGGCTCTGGAGGCTGTAGTCTCACAGTCTGCTAAGTTTTTAATGCTCATTTAATTAAAAAAAAATCTAATCTGGGAATGCACAGCAAGGAAGTAGGATATCAAGTTAAATGAGGAGGGCCCTTTTCCAACTGCTTACAATCCAGAAAGAGGAGAAGCGTGGGCCATTTTCCCCCCAGACAGTGTGTGTGTTGTCTAAAAAAACAAGATATCTAAAGCATGCAGTTATGATTTATCAACCAAAACCCAACAGTGACAACTTATAAACCCTTCATAGTGGCTGCCTTAGACTAGAAAGTCACAGTTAACTGTATTATCTCCTGTTAAAGTCGTATGCTTTCTGTTGCATGACTATTTCTAGTGTTATTCCTGTTATTATAAAACAGCTGAATTTCTTGCATAAAAAGGGACAAGATGCATTATTTTTTCTTTTTCTTTTCAATGGATGCAGGCCATTTACTGGAAGGAGCCTGAAGCAAAAAAGGCCAATCGTTTACATAACAGAGCATTATCTAATAATTAATAACTGGAGCATAGCAGTGCTTGTTTATGATTGGTTCTCTGGGGCCTGGAGCAAAAGTAAACAGCTATACGTTGTGATGTTTGTGTTAAATGACATTAGAGTAAAAAAAAAATAGTCATAAGACCTTGGAACTTGAAGCCCTCCAGGTGGACCCACAAGCAGAGGTCCTCGTTGTCGCACTCGCAGCTCCACGGGTTCCCGCTGAGCCCCACGGAGCGCAGGGCGGGCAGCGCGATCAGGGAGGTGATGTTGACCACCGTCAGGTTGTTCCGGCTCACGTCCAGCACCTGGAGGGCCGCGTTCTCCGCAAAAGCGTCCGGGTGAATCTCGGAGAGCCCCGGGTTGTCCGTCATCCTCAGCATCACCAGGCTCGCCAAGGGCCCGAACGTCCGGTCCTCGATCCGGGTCAAAGTGTTGAAGGAGAGGTCCAGGTAGGCCAGCTTGCGTAGATTCCCGAACGTGGACTCGGATATCTCGGTGAGGGAGTTGTTGCTGCAGTCCAGGTACACCAGGTCGGAGAGGTAGTTGAGCGCGAGTGGCGGCAGCTCCACGATGCGGTTGTTGGAGATGATGAGCTGCCGGGTGGCCAGCGGCAGGTTGACGGGGAAGGTGGTCAGGTGCTGCCCGGCGCACTGAACCACCAGCTGGTCATCACACACGCACCTGTCCGGGCAGCCGGAGGAGAGCACCGGGGACGAGACGACCCCCGTGGCGAGGAGAAGCACAACTATGAGCCGCAAGGGTTGCGCGCTTGGCTGCGGGGCAAGACGCATGACACCGCCGAGGGCTTCATCAACCCCGTTTGGACACAGTCAGACGCAGTCACATTCTTCATTGATACATCCTCAAGTTGTTTGTCCCAGAAATGACTCCCACCGAGGTCAAACCGAACGCCTGCCCGTGGCAACCTCCTGCGCGTAATGTCTCAGTCCATCCTGCGCGTTGGTTCTGGATCCAGCGCGCATCCGCTGACTTGGACCTGACAGCCGGACGCTTTCATGCTGCTTCAGATTTCATTGATTTGTCGAGTTTGTTTTGACGACAGCCTATTCGCACATCTTCTCGTGCTCGCGATGATCAGTTGCTCCACTACATGTTTGCCATCCTCTCGCTTTGCTGAAACTGAATCCAAACAGAACAGGGGGGGCGCGCGCTGAAGTGCGCGGCGGGTAGGGGTGGGGTGTAGGGGGGGTGAGCTGTGGAGTGATCTCACCCTCTGGAGTGAGCTGGAGCGAGAGTGGAAGGTCTGGGCAGCGGAGGTAATAGAAGACTAACATTAAATATTGAAGCCAGCAAAGTATAATCCATGCACAGTTGACACGTACTGCAATAAAGGTGACCTATAACGCCTCAGCTGCAGGCACAGTGATTCCATCTGCACATGCCTCAGGTGTGTTTGTGTGCATCCTTGTAACAGAGTGTATATTTCTATGTGTAAATATCTGTCTGTGGCACTCTTTGTTATCAGCTTGGCTCAGGTCTTTAGTGGCAGATCCAGGAGCAGTTGCACCTGACACCTACAGTATGTGGTCTCATCACAGGTTTTCAGGGCAGTGGAAACAATATGTCCGGACAGGGAATCCCAATCAGCCCATCAGCACCACCACTCATGTGGAATGAGGTTTTTGTCACGAATGACTGACATTAAACGGGCAGCAGATCTACCGTTTAAACCCAGTGCACAGGCTTGCAGATGCTGGGACGAGATGAGATGGGACAGGGTGGTCTCTGGCAGCGGTTGTTTTTCCTCCTCTCTCCAGTCTCAGTATGAGTCCTGAGTCTATTCTTGGTTCTCTGTGTAGGTGTTGAAGTGCTGAATCAGACTCAGCATGATGGAGGAGGAGGAGGAGGACAGATGTGCCGCTGACAGTCCGTGAAAGAAACTACCGGGAGCTGACAGACAACAACCTGCTGCACACTGACCGAGCTCTCGGTCAGACCTCCCCAGAAGGAACTCCAAGCCTTTATTCTGCAGCTATCATGTGTGTTTGTGTCATGAGCAGGAGGCCCATGAGGAAGCTAATGCTTTTTCCACACTTGCCATCTATGTGGACTGAACTGATCCACACAGCTGTTTTGTGTCAAGGATATTCAATGACTTTATGAGGACATCTAGTGACGAATACTCGGTAATGTTTTGTAGACTCAGCAAGCCATGCAATCATCTTCTTATTGAAGCCTGCTGCCTTTGCTGATGCAGCTTTACTATCGAGAGCACAAATGCATAACAAGCCCAGCCTGTTATACCACTTTCAGTCTAATTTATGGAGGAAATCCCAAACTTTCGAAAGCCGTGCATAAAATGATGGATAAGATGCACAAAATACTCCAATTTGAAGGATCCCATAAACATGTAAACAAGGAGTCTCAGGCTTCTATATTAATGTGAGTGAATGGTGACAAATTAAAGGAAAACCAACATTAAGTGCCTTATGAAGGTGCTGGGCCTCCATGTGCTACTACAACAGCTTCAACGCTTCTTGTCGGTGATGCTCCAAGTCTCTGGAACTTTTTACTCCACTTCATTTATTTTAGTCTGTTTATTTCGTAATTATTTTATAAATAGGGAAATGCACAGGCTCCACAACGCTGAATAATTAGATATGAGTGAACACTGACAAAACTATCTAACAGTACATAAAATAGTTAAGTTTGCTCCACCTTCACTAGTTAGACTTCTTCTAGAATAAAGTGTCATTAATAATATTCCAGTGATCTAATACGTAATTAAACGGACAGGTGAAAAATTAAAAGAAAAAACAACATACAGTGTCTTAATAAGGCCTCCGTGTGAAACCATCCATCCATCATCTATACAATTCTGCTTAATCCTCACTTGGGTCGCGGGGGGACTATCCCGGCCGACTTAGGGCAAAGGCAGGGGACACCTGGACAGGTAACCAGTCTATCACAGGGCTACACTTAGAGACAGACAACCAAGCACACTCACATTCACACCTACGGACAATTTACAATCACCAATTAACCTCAACATGTTTCTGGACTGTGGGAGGAAGCCGGAGAACCCGGAGAGAACCCACGCTGCATGGGGAGAACATGGAGACTCCACGTGGAAAGATCCCGGGTGTCCTAACTGGGGATATTCTAGCTGTGAGGGTGCTTAAATGCTCCTTGTCACTGATTTTCCAAATCTCTGGAACTCTGGTGGAGGTATGGACGCCATGCTTCCCTCGTTCGGTGTTTTGATGGTGGTGGTGGTGCTGTCTAGCATGTTAGTCAAAAATCTCTCATTGGTGCCTAACTGGGTTGAGATCTGGTGACTGTGAAGGCCGTAACATGTGATTTATATCATTTTCATCGAACTAGTCAGTCATCCTGGAGGAGACCATTCCCATCAGATTCAAGAGAATCAAGAGGTTTGTTGTCAGAAAACTAGACGGTTACACTATGCAATGAAACTTTCACTTTGCTGATCCTTCATAACTAATGGACAGAATATAATTAAAACTATAGCAATTTAAATAAATAGGCATACTTCAAATGGCAACGGCAGCGGTCGTATAGCACATTATTGTAAACTTTGGTTCGAATAAAGTGACTACGGCAGTGATAAAGTGATTACAGTAATGGCTATAAAGTGCATATTGCATCAAGGTAAACTGTTTAAATTTGAGGCAGCAGCACCAGTGCTAGTATAAACAGCAGCAGAACCACAGTGTTAATCTGTGTGTATAAAGTTCAGTGAGATAGTCCAGTACAGTATGAGTGTGTACGGGAGCCATTCACCAGCCTGATAGCCTGCAGGGAAAAACTGTTCATCAGGACAAAAATCATCAACAGATGAAGTTGATCACTCAGAGCAACTTTATACTGATTTTCAGCGACTCGTATCTTTAAGGGAACCTTGCCAGCAAAACACCTCCCAAAGTGCGAGTCAAATGCTCCAATTTTTCCTTTAATTTGTCCCCCGTCTGTATATGATATGGAGGTGAAACCAGTTCTTGCAGTACTAGCTATACATTATCTAGAATAATGCATTATCTGTACCGTACACACCCTGGTTGCAGCTGTTTTCCAGGAACCTTTAGCATGTATGATCAGGCAGTGGAGGCACCACACACCCTCCTTTGTGTTTAATTCACCTGTTTTGCACTGTACATAGGCGTGAGATTTAAAAAAAAAAAAAAAGCTACACATGGATGCAAAAGCACAGCTGAAAGCGCCCCGTCAGAAAGGCTTTGACAGAGTTCGCTTTATCTAATCCTTTGACTTACAGAATGCCAGTCATACCATAGTTGCAAGAACTTGTCTCCCACATTTATCTCCACGGTTAATCTGCTGTACATCCATTAAACCTGTTTTTGTTAAAACACCCATGGCTCGATGTGCTTGTGTTACAGGTCATACAGAGACACAAAGCAACATCTTCACTATAACAGAGCAGTGGAAACTTATACAGTGGAAACCAAAAGTTTACACACACTGTATAAAAAGACATATAACCTTTTTTTTTCTTACTGTCTGACATTAAATGTGACTAAACTTTTCCTGTTTAGGTCAGTTAGGATTATCTAAATTATTTCTATTTGCTTCAGAATAATGAGAGAGAGAATATTTATTACTTTCTTCAAAGTCAGAAGTTTACATGCAAGATGCCTTCAAACTATTTGGGAAAGCCCAAATGATGATGTCATGGCTTTGGAACCTTCTGATAGGTTAATTGACAACATGTGAGTTAATTGGAGGCACATCTGTGGATGTATTTAAAGACACAACATGGAAAATCTAAAGAAATCAGCCAAGATATCAGGAAGAGAACTGTGGACCTCCACCAGACTGGTTCATCCTTGGGTACAACTTCCAGATGCCTGAAGGTTCTACGTTCATCTGTTCAAACAATTATAACAAGTATAAACACCAAGTCATACAGTTTAAAGGCAACGCTACCAAATACTAAGGAGATGGCTGTAAACTTGTGACTTTGAAGAAAGTAATTTTTTTTTTAAATAATCAAAAAAAAATCTCTCTCATTGTTCTGACATTTAGCAAATAGAAATAATTCTGGTAATCCTAACTGACCTAAAACAGGAACAGTTTAGTCACATTTAATGTCAGACAGTTAGAAAACAAAGGTTATATGTCTTTTTATACAGTGTGTGTAAACTTCTGGTTTCAGCTGTATATTATATATGGCCATGACTAAAATGAGTGCATGAATTCAGACCCGTGTCAGCAGCTCATGCAGTAGTAGCAGGCGTGTGTTGGCTAAATGACACCACTCAGCGTGCTTTGCATACCTCTGCCTGACCTGATATGTGATACAGGAAGCCCTGTCAGATCCCTGTTCACCTCACCGCAGGGCAGATTGTTTGGTTTCATTCCATCAGCCAGAGAGAAATCTGCCCTCTGGATCAGGGCCCTGCTCTTGTAAACTGGCCCACTGACGAGGCTTAGTGGGTCACTTCATAAGAACTGGAGCATCACTGATGTTACTGGACTCACACCTGTGCCTGTTATGCCAAAGTCTAAACGTCTGTAATAAAAAAAGGATTACCTCTGCAGTAAAAGCTGTCACATAAATGTACGCTGTGTTGGATGTGATGATCAGCCACAAACTCTGATTTTCACACAGTAAAAAAAAAAAACAGAGAGGAGGAGGAGGAGTCCTTTATCATTTATAACTCACCCAAATCCCATCACATCATCGCCTCCAAAGCCAGTCTTCATTCTGCGAGTTGTTTAAGGAAAGTTGTATGGAAATTTCCCATTAAAGGAAACCACTCCCTTTGCTTGGCAGCGAAGATTTTTTTGTTGTTGTTGCGTTGGTTCTCAATCATCTGTGGCTTCTTAGTTCCTAAAAATTAACAATCAGTAAAATAATTTACAAAAAAAGTAGAAAAGAATTAAAATTTTGTCACAGTAATTGAAAGTCCTGCATTGAAAATGCTAGTTTCATAAAAGATAGATAGATAGATAGATAGATAGATAGATAGATAGATAGATAGATAGATAGATAGATAGATAGATAGATAGATAGATAGATAGATAGGTGCCAGAGAGACGCCAAAAATGATGGTATTTACAAGAAGTGTGCAAAAACTATGGGGATTTACAATAAGGTATAAATTTGCAGTAAACAGACGTATTAGAAAAGTGCAAAAAGATTGCAAAAAAAAATCAAATCAAATCAAGTTTATAGTCAGTCATCTTGCTGTACATACACAGTAGTACAGGCAAGATGAGATAAAATAAAATAGAACTAATAATAATAATGTTGTTCAGGGTTATTGGTTTTATTGCACAGTTGAGTCTCTACTCTGAAACAACCTGAAAATGTTGGAATAATCAGGATCAAATCTACAGACAGCTGGATTGAGCCACACAAACTCTCCCTGCTGCTCTTTACCCATGTTGCAGGTTACCATGGAAACCAGCACACACACTGTAGGCGCGCGGCTCACCTGCGGCCCACTGCGCATGTCAGATAAGTGGAAGCGATCATTTGAGGAAATATCCCGGTAGTGAATTTACAACCGAGAGTTAAGACGGACCTTGTCGTGACATTTGGATATCCTAGGAAACTTGTGCAGCTATAACAGACCTAATTAAGGTAAGTTTAAAGCGACTAGTTAGCGTTAGCTCGGGTTAAGGGGAGCGCATAGCTGGGAGGCGTTTGAGTTCCTCCAGAGTCTCGGACTGTGGCTCCAACCTATAGCACAATTTAGCCATAAAACAGAGTAAACCGGACCGACAGACAGACAGTCAGTCAGTGGACTCCACCACGCCCTCCCTCGGCGTTACATAAGCCTGGAGGGACACATTTGAATAGGAGAAACTTCGGTGAGCTCCGTCCGTCGCCCGCCGTGTCTCCTCCGGACCCTCACAGCCGTTAAGCTAGCTTGCACCTTCGAGGTAATAATGCTGTCGCTGTTGTTTTAAATACGAGCTCTTTCTAACGGGGCTCTGAGAAACTACGGCGCTGCTGCTGCTGCTGCTTGTCCTCATTTGACCTTCGGTTCTGGTCGTGAGGCGACCTTGCTGCTGGGTTTCCTGCGTGGTTGTTCCGCCTCGTCACGAGTTAAAGGCTCGACGTGAGACCTGGCTTGTTGTATTTCGCCCCCTCGTCGTCTTTTCTTTGATATAAAACAGCACTTGTGCGTGGGCTAAAGCTGATAAAAGTGTGCTACCTCTGCTCTTCCAGGTTTGCCAGGATGGTGGTGCTTTCCAAGGAATACGGATATGTGGTGCTGACCGGTGTCGCCAGCATGATCATGGTCGGACATCTGGCCGTGAGAGTCGGCAAAGCCCGGAAGAAGTACAACGTTCGGGTGAGCAGACATTTTCAGTGATGCACCTGAATGCAAAAGAGCTAAAAAAAAATCAGTAGAAATGTTGTAGAAATCCCACAGTGGCCAAGTGCAATGTGCAGATTGCAGCATTTTTTTAAATGGATGAAGGTAAACATGTGTGACTGATTACTGTATGAATGAAGCATTGTGGGGCTGCAGAGGAGCACCAGCCTATGAATCATATTCTCCACATATACAAGCTTGTGTAAAGTAGACTGTACTTCTTTTTTTCTTTGTGGTAAAGAAATGGAATAATTGACCACAAAAACATTGTGACTCATGACATGACTCATATCTGTCAAAAACAATCCCTTTCTTTTGCATTTGTTTTTCTGTTGCACCCACGTTGACCCCTTTTTCATGTTGACCTGTCACAGGAGGGAACCCACAGGTGCACGAGCAACGGCTGCGTGTCACATAGGAGGGGTCTCGCTTTTGAACGTGCTGATTCACTGTCACGGCGACGCTCAAACACATGTTTTACCCGCTGTGACGAGCTCAGATGTTTGTTATGAAAAAACTCAGTGAGGACCACATTCTGGGGCAGAAGTATGCCAAACATGCAAAACAATATTGGGGTTATTTTGACAGATAAATTGAGTCATTCGTGAGAATTTAGCAGCATTTAGTGGTCGTTCTATTCCATTTGTCTTCCACTGCAAAAAATCTAAAAATGATTATGTGGCTCCTGTGAAAGAGCAAAGACCAATAAACCCGCCCTGCCTTACAGTATCCTCAGATGTACAGCGATGACCCGGAAACCGGAAACATTTTCAACTGCATCCAGCGTGCACACCAGAACACGTAAGCTGAAAATACGGAGAATGCAGCTTTGTTCTGCACGCAGCCACTGTTTATTGCACTTCGATTTCATGACCCGCAGATAACAAAGTGAAAGCAGGTGAAAGTTAACGTGCTGTCAATGTCACCTCTCACCAGCCTGGAGTTCTACCCTGCCTTTCTTTTCTGCCTGGCTGTCGGTGGACTGCACCATCCTGTAAGTTTAGTTTTACGCCATCATGGTTTATAGGCAATTACAGCTTTAAGATTTGAACAAAAGATCATTTTGATAGATGCACTGGATGCAGGAGGAGTATGTGCTCTTTTTGTGTCAGCCTGTGCTATAGCTTTGCTTTGTTTGGCTGTCACAGCGTCTATCGAGTGGACTCGGAGTAGTGTGGATCCTCGGCAGAGAGGCGTACGCACATGGGTACTCAACAGGAGGTAAGAAAATGCTGCACAGTTAATGTTACAGTTACATGATGCTGGGGTGCTAATAATTTTGTTATCTATCTCAATCAGATCCTAAGAAAAGAATGAGGGGAGCGTTCGGGTCATGGGCGTTGATCGGGATGATGCTGACCACCCTCCGCTTCGGCTGCCACCTGGTGGGCTGGACTGGACCGCCGTTTGGACGTTTCCGTAGCATAAACTGTCATTAAGGACGAAGACCTCAGGCCGGGTTCACTCAATCATTATTCTAATCATAACCACTGTACATCGTGCAAAACGTTGCAACACGTGTGCTAATCTCTGGCCAGTGTAACAGTTAAAGTCAAAGCCAAGTTCATGTTGTGAAGTGATCCGACTGGTTCTGCAGAAGAGAAACAGCCCAGTTTAGATACTGGCTGTATGGCAGGGTGGCACTCCCATCACATACAGGAGCTGTCGGTTTGTCTTTCATCATTTCTAACTCCATCCTGATTTAGAACTTGTAATCAACAGGCCACGCGACTCCTAATATCAAGTGTTTTCTTGCAATAAAAAAAAGGGGATCATGCTGTATTACAAAAGCCAGTTCCAGAGGAGAAACTAACCCTCAAAGTTTGATGCACTTGGTGTTAAAATATCACCCTAATTTTTGCTGAAAGAGACATATTTTGTATGTTAGTGAATAACTAAAAATGGTTCAATGTATTGCTTTTGTCAATTAAAAGAAAATCATAATTCCAATTGAGACTTCTTTATTTTATTCTCTTGACATTTGGTTGGTGTTGTAGCCAATTTAGATTTATGCTGGGTGTGTGTGTGTGTGTGTGTGTGTGTGTGTGTGTGTGTGTGTGTGTGTGTGTGTGTGTGTTAGGGTTACCTGCACACCTGTGGGCATAGGTAGCGATCAGCCAGACAGAGGCTAGATAAGGGAGACACAGGTGATCAGTGCCGGGGACTTGAGCCAGGGGAAGCTACACAGTTTTTCGACCGTCTGAATGGGTGGTATAGTATTTTTGTTTTCTTTGCATAGGCGCTCATCTTAGGTCGTTCGGCACCTGACCTTTTGTAGGTGTTTTCTAAGATTTGCAAATGAAGTGTTAAACCGCACACCCATGGCGGTTTTTACACACCATAACGAGTTGGAAATGTCCTCAAAATCCCTCAAGTGGCATTCTTTGTAGGTAGATTGCCGCTATAGTTGGGATTAAATATTACGCATTGGCCATAAATCCATTCTTACGGGACGTTTTATGGGTATTGATTGAATATTAACATTGGGTTGTATGTGTGTAAAGGGAGCGGTTTTCTTCTTTCTTTTTTTAAGCTGAATGATTGTCCAAAGTCTACTCTGCCAGTCCAGACAGGCGCTGCAACACCGCCGAGCTGTTGAGCGCACAACACTCCCACAGCTTAATCGTGTTCGACAAAAGAAACCAGCTTTTGTACAGATTACAATGACACGGCATAATGCTCGAGAGCTCGCCCACATATTTTCTGCTGTATTTAAACAAACACGCCCTCTACGTGTAGTGATTTCTATTTTATTATCAAACAGGAAATCAATAAATCCTTACAGTTCAAAGGCATATTCATATACAGCACTGTTGCCACTTGACAGTCAAGTAAAACTTTTCATACAACAGCTTAGTTCCAGCACATTTGCATGATACGCCACCTAATAAAGATCCAGGTAACAAACGTCCCCAGTAATGCCTCTCGCTGTCTTAATGTTAAACATTCTTTATACATATTAATTTTACACCACAATAAACAATAGTGTGTTTTATCTTCACAATTTACCCTTATCAAAGTGTTTATTTAGTGTAGCAGGGTCTCCTCTCTGTGGCTGTTAGTGGCATAAACATTAATGATCAAAACCAGAATAACTAAATCCAGTATTTATATACCAGCAGCAGACTACTTCCATGACCACGTATAACTACACGTCAAAGGCTGCAACAATTCCACATGTAATTCAGGTTAAATAAAGTCAAACAATTGAATGATGAGTGGATTCTACTGCGAGAGCACAGGTGATTTTATTTTATTTTTGTGTGTGTGTGTGTGAAGACTTTCTGCAAGAGCTCTGCTTTAAGACAACACGTGCAACCTGGCAATTTGGTTTGAAAGTGCACTTTGTTAGTATTTGGTCACTTCAGGGGTCATAATTGGTATTCCGAAATTGTTTTGGGCACGATAGAGTAGAAGGCAACACGTATACCACTTGTTTGGTCGTCTTTGTGGTGCAGAGAATCAAATATCCCAAACATGTAACTGACCGGAAAAGAGCCATTTCTCTCACACACAATACGAGGTGTGTCAGGAAAGTTTCAGGACTGGTGTCACAAAAGATATATTTCAAGTTTTCCACTTCGCAGTAATCCCCCTGGAGTCTAACACCCTTCTCTGCCACGCCGCCATGCACTCCAGGAGGGATTCTTCTGTTATCCTCCGTCGTCACAGCCATCTAGATGTCGTCCACGTCTTCTAAACGGGTCCCCTTGATGACCCCCTTGAGCTTGGGGAAGAGGAAACAACCCCATGGAGCCAGGTGGGGTGAGTAGGGAGGTTGCTCCAGCACGGAGATGTTCTTCTCAGCCAGGAACTGTCAGATGCTCAGGGCGTTGTGAGCAGGTTGTCATGGTGAACTGGTCCTGCCACAACTCTCGTCTCTTCTCTAAACGAAGCAAACGCTGCAGGGTCTGTTTGTAGACGTGCTGGTTGATCGTCTGGTTTGGGTTTGAAACGTATCTTTTGTGACACCAGTCCTGGAACTTCTCTGACACACATCATATCACTTCTGCACTGAATCTTTTAAAAGTCTGTTTTTCGATTTTATCAACAGGAATCAATAATGAAGTCAGCAGCATAGAGACACACATTACAATACGCTGGCCAAATCTACAGTAGCCGTTAGCATATAGACCACAAAGACATGCAAAATACCTATATCAGGACAATAAAACCCACCTAGGATAGATGTGCATGTTTCTATCTAGTATTAATGCAAACAGGGGCTTTTCCAACAGAACTCATGTCAGTCAAAGCAATCCGAACCGGACAGCTGAGTGAAAGACTTTCACACCTTCTGGAATCGAATGAGGATCTGGATCTCAGGTCCTTCCTTTATGTAAAAAGTGTTGGTATCTTATATAGAGATGGTCTACTTCAGCTGAATTGTCAGGAGTTCCTCTCCATCCTGCCTCATTTTAAACGTTCTGCTGATGGTTTTGAGTGATATGAGTCATCTTGGGAAAACCTCTCTTGGCATCGCTACTTGATATTAGCATGCACGTCTCTCAGGTGGGCGTAATTATCCTGAAAATGTGTATTTTGTGCTTCTCTGTGGTTTGTTTGCATTTGAATAAATCCCAGGCTTTGGGACCCCACGAGGCCGTCGTATTTGTGCTGCTGAGTTCTTTAAAACGACTGGAGAAGTCATATAATGGTGTATAATAGGTGGAACTCATCCCCAACACAGCTGCGATCTATTACACAACTCAGACTGGTATTGTGGGTTGTATTTAAGCACTGTATGATTGATATGTCTCAGGTCGGCTTTTTAATAAGTCAATGCAGAGGTGATAAGTGTGTCCAGGAAGTGACTTTTTGGCAATTTGCTCATGTGTCTCAAAGCACTTCATACCCTTATTCACTCTCCCAGTGTCTCACTTCTTGCTCGATAACCTGAGGTTGTCTCAACATTTATCAAAACAGTAATGGAGGACTTCATGCAACCTTGATCCACATTACCTTAGATGCCCCCCAGGGGGCAGTGTGACCGTTTGTGCCACATTAAAGTGCTGTGCATACATGAGGAGTCAGTCAGGAGTGCAGAGGTGCAACTAATTGGCCTCAGGAAAGAAAGAAAACAAAAAGTTCCCACCGGATTAAAGGCCTCCAGAATTTTTAAAGGGAATGTGGAAGAAAGCTGAAGTGATTGAAACCTCCCATTTAGAAGATTCCCATTTCAAGAACCTTGATAAACATTTTTCTTTTTTTAAATCTAAATTCTCAGTTACAAGAGGAAACTGATCAGAAGAGATGCAGCTGCTTCCAGGCAAAGGTTTCTCTTACATCCAAAGTGGTCTTCCTTTGGTGTTTGGTTTGCTTCTGTTCTCTGAGCGGTGACTGACAGGGAAGAAGCTTCCATCAGTAGGAATACCTGGAGAGTGGCGTGTCCTCCATCAAATCATCCTAGGGGAGACGATTAAAACAAAACGATTTGCACTTGAGGAGAGACTGAACGTTGTTTTACAGCCATACTTTATGAGGCCATGCAGAGCAAGCAGACATAGCTCAATGTAATATAATCGCACAACAAATGAATGGAGTTTGTAGAATTTATAGAAGGGTCGTAAAAAAGTCAGACTGTAAAGAAGTCAATGAGAAACTGACCAATTACATACTGCAGCGTTTCAAGCGGTTTTACTTCATGTCTGTTCCTGTTTCAACCCCGACAATATCTCCTCTTACGTACCAATAAATCTCCAATGAAGCGGGTGCGCTGAAAAGAACTCACTAGTTTCTCTGCGTTAAACTAAATTGTGGCTTTTTTTGATAAGTTGAACCACATCATCCATTCAATCCCATCGTTTCTTCTCTGCCCATAGTTGATATTCTAAACTTCAATAGCCCTGGGAAGACAGTTTGATCATCTGGATGCAGCAAATTAAAAAAACGAGCATTGACTTCCAAAAAGTTGTGGACATCTTGGAGTAAGATTAAAATAACCAAAATGTTGCTTCAGCCAAGTGTGAAGAGTTTGAAAGAAACAAGGGAGCCTGCATTTCCCATTATTCATCAGGATGGTGCCTTTCACATAGACTGTATATGAAAGATTGATCTAACATGAGGGTCTGAAAGCAAATGTGACCTGCATTCTCTCCAACAGCCAGCAGGGGTCGACTCCTCTGGTTACGAAACAAGACTGATTGTATGTACTGGTATGTTTGAATCTGAAGCTACTTCTTACTTGATTTGTTACTTCAGGTAATATTTTCCTAACGAGTTAATGGTCTCAATCATGACTTTTAAGTCTCCTTCAATTTAGCATGATGATCGTTTTTTAAATTATGGTTCCATTTAGAGGAAAATGGACTTTAGGGCGGAGCTACCTTGTCATTGACAAGTCACTACCATGTCCTTGATTTCTCCGGTCAGATCCATCCATCCATTATCTATGCACCGCTTAATCCTCACCAGAGTCACAGTGGGGGCTGAAGTCTATCCCAGCTGACACCTGGACAGGTCACCAGTCTATCACAGGGCTACACTTAGAGACAGACAACTAAGCAGACTCATATTCACACCTATGGACAATTTACAATCACCAATGAACCTCAGCGTTGTTTCTGGACTGTGGGAGGAAGCCGGAGAACCCGTGGGGGAACCCACACTGCACGGGGAGAACATGGAGACTCCACGCAGCAAGATCCCAGGCATCCTAACCGGGATGCAAACCGGCGACCTTCTACCTGCGAGGCAAAGGTAACCACTCATCCACCGTGCAGCCCCCAGTTAGATCCATTCCTTATGTATTTCATCTGGTTACAACAGACCAAGATGCTAGAAGTCAAATTCCAAACTCAGACTTCCCAATGGTAGTGCACAAAGCGGCGTTCTGGTGGCTCATCCACCATATTATCCATTGAATTTCCCTTCTGGGATGAACAAATATTTTTCATTTCATTTCATTCATTTCATTCATTCATCTGATTCCTTCTTCTATATACAGCCTGTGGTCCTCACTGGACCCTTCCTTCCTGGTTTGCCCACTTGTTTCAAACACTTGTTTCAAACCCCACACACCCAGTTTGTAAGACAGCACTTTCTGTTACAAATCTAAAATCTAAACCCAGAACTGAGACCATCTGTTGACATCATTATGGGCTACTTCCTTTGACTAAGCTAATAGCAAGTAAACTGGCCTTTGGGTGTAAAAAAAATCTGGGGTGTAAATTAACTGCTTAACAATCTTCACTGCAGTTTAGTGCATCTTACCATCGGTAGATCCTGCAGTCGATGGAACTCTGGGTGGTTTGTCCGCTGGCGGAACTTGAGGAAGAGAATGACGAAGACGATGGCAGTGGTGACGATAAACACCGACAGCAAACCAGCCAGCAGGGGGTCCAGAGGAGAGCTGGAGCGGTAGTGGGACCTCTTGAGGTCTACGGGACACAGAAATAGATGCAATCTGAATGTAGTTTATGTTTATTTTACGGTGCAATGCCCCATCTAAGAGGTTGGAAACTCTCCCACCTGTCCATCACCTTACCTTCATCTCCCACATTAAGCTCAGATGGGACCTCCTGGTGTGTCGGCCCATCGGGAGCCCGACCGGGAGCTGAGGTCTCAGGGTTAGCTGTGGTCAGGGATTCAGTGGCGGAGGTGGGGGCCGCGGAGCTCGCATCCTTCACCGTGTGCGCCAGCTGAGATGAAAAGGCGGTGAGGGAATCGCTGGTCAGGGGCGTCCTGCCCTCTGGGGTCGAGGCGTCCTGCAGAGAGGCGGCGCTCAGGGCCGTTGGCGTGGATGAAAGGCTGTCTGCAGCAGCTGAAAGTGGGGATGTGAGCGCAGTGCTGTATCAGTTCAAAACAGTACAGAGAATTCTTCAAAGGAAGCGAAGCGTACACACAGCAGCCGGAGGTAACCTTACACCACCCCGCTCATGAGAACCGATCAGTCCCTCTGACACTAACGCTGCTGTCCAGGATGGCTTCACGGCCTGCAGCTCCCACCTTTTCTGCTCCACAGTAAGTTAAAAACAGAGGCGATGACCTGTTTCACACACTGTTTGTATTTTCATGTATGTGATCAACAGAATAAAATCGACGGTAGTGCTGGATGTCACTCTATGGCAGTTCACATAAATACCAGGTATCCACTGCCCACAAGTGGCATCGAGCTTTATTGTTTTAATGGTGTTTTATTTTCTCTGTCATCAAATAAACTTCATCTGTAGGTCACTGACTTTTCCTTCTTTTGGTATGATTATGTTTTTGCTTCACATGCTATGCTATACACTGAGGCTGACCTCTCTTGCTGACACCTGAGGAGGGTGCAGAGTGTTCAGAAACCTGGTACATGGTGTCAACTTTAGGTTTCTGCACCAGCATAAAGAAACAGGCGTTCAGACTAACGTTGTTTGTAGTAAAGGTTCTGTATGAGGACTGAAATGCTGCACAGAACATTAAAAAATGCTTCATCGAATTATGAAGCAGACACGAGCGAGAACATCTTTAAAGCGAGAGAGTCCAGCGGCATCTTTTGCCAAGTGACAACCTCCAGCGTTACTGTACAAGGACAGGGAGATGACGACAGCATGGAGGGAATAAGACATCGTGATCCGCGTGGCTGTAAGCCATATCGCTTCTGCACTCTTCAAACAGGCAACGCTGCATCAGCTGAGGGGGTTATATTTATCTGATCTATAGAGGGAATCTCTGAAATGAGGTTACGACACACATTCTCAGTCTGGGCCCAGTCAAGTGGGGGTCAGAGGGAGAAGCTGAGTTCCTGGAAGTGAGTCTGAGAAGAGTCTGTTTGCAAACAGGCAGCGTTTAGCGTGTGTGGGACGTTTTATTTTAAGGCTCCAGTCTGGGCAAAGTAAACACGCTGGATTGGAAAATTATAGATGCACAGTTATAGAATTATGGATGAAATGATGACCATGATTTATATAATGATAAAGGTTCAGCTTTCTTTTTTTTTTTAAAAAGAAGGCACGAAAAGCTGATTACCTGCAGTGCTGAGGTGAGCGGTGGGTTCGGCTGGAGACGTCGGTGCAGCCGGGGTCGAGGTCAACGTGTCGGTTTGAAGAGCTGCAGTTGTCGCAGCCTCTGAGCGGGCCGAGCCCTCCGTCCGTCCCAGAGTGGTGGTTTCATGTGAGGTTTCATCGCCGCCCGCAGGATTACGTGTCCGCTGTGGTGCCTCGTTCCCAGGATCCTCTGCCGGGTCAGGAGATGCCGAGGCTTCGGTGTGACTCAGGAGGCCGGGAGGGGTGAAGACGGCCGGCGGATCATGGCTCTGACCTGCAGAAACAAAAGATGGATCCTGTTTAAAACTCACTCGTTTGTAGGGGTGCTGCTGTGCAGATTAAAATGCAGGTTATTTTATCAGCTACCAGTTTGTGTGTTCAATAGTGCAAAGACTTCCCAGAACATAAAGTGAATATCCAAACAATCCAGTAAAGCTGCCAACTAATGACTCACTTCCTTATCAGTGAATTTGTCAATTACATTCTTGCTTAATCCTTCAGTCTGCTAGCTCTGCACATTTCCCCAAAGCTCTTAAAATCGTCTTGTTTTTTAAATAGATTACGATATTTATAATCATTAGAGATGTCATAAGGTAGAAAATATTCACATGTGACAAGCTGAAATGGAAGAGATTTCTTTAAAAAAATGATCCAGAAATGAGATCAAAAAGAGTTGTACATGTCAATCACTTGATCACAACAGTAATAAATGGATCTCTACTGTCCAGCCTCCTGAGATATTCAGTTAACTTGGAGGTAAAAACATCAATACAGTGATGTAAAAATACTCAATTACATGTAAAACTCCTGCATGAAAAATCCCACTTAAGTAAATGTAGCATCAGCAGCAAAATCTAGTGAAGTATTAAAGTAGTGGTTTGGTCCCTCTGACTCATATCTTCACGTATATGACATAACGGTGAAGCATCAGTGTGTCAGCAGAGTGTTGCTGTTGTAGCTGGTACTGGGAGACCAAAGATGAAAAACCATGTTGTCAGTTTTTGGACTTTATCCTCTAATCCATGTTTTTTTTAGTAAGATTTTAGGTAATTTACACATTTATCGAAATGAAACCATGTGAGAAGTTTAGAGGGAAAAATGACAACTCATAGACGACACGCTGCTTTCAAAAGAAGCCAAGAAGTTTGAAACCACAGAGTTCATCTGTAGCAATGTGCTGTGTTTTAAAAGCTTGTTATGTCATTTAGGGTGCATCTTAAAGGTAAATAAAGCAGCAAAAAGTACAATATTTCCCTCTGAAATCTAGCACAGAAGGAGAAAACAGTAGCATAAAATAGAAAAACGTACCTCATATAGTGCTTGAATAGATGTCTACTGAGTGCATTTGGTCTACAGAATATATTTTTGCTAAATTCCAAGATGATGGTGTCTTTTTTTATGAGGATAAAGGACATTTTGGATCATGGCAGACATAAAAGATGGTGTATATTCACAAGTGAGAAGCTTGAATTAGAAAAAATGTAAAATATATCTTTAAAAAATTACCCAAAAATGCCAAACAAGCTATAAATGCACTGTACAAATCACACAGATTTGAAGTTTGCTGTCATAGAAGACAAGAAAAGGCAAAAATATTGGAAATTCTGGAGAAACAAATTTGGATTTTTTGCATTTTTTCCTCGACAAATGACTCATTGGGCATCAAAACAGCCAACTTCCTTGACTATTAACCAACTAACACTTGGAGTCTTATAATGGTGATCAGCTGGGTTCATTAATAAACACACTCACTGAGAAATCTCAATGAAATCTGAAAGTTTGATCAAATATTCAGGAGTCTGGTGATCAGACGGCAGACACCTTGTTGGTGAGGGAACATGCTGTGCACACATCCTGCTGAGGTGGTGCCAAACACAAAGAAAAGTTCATCCCACAGAACCTAACAGCGACGGAACCTGCAGCTCCCAACTTCTTATCTGATCAATAGCCGGTTGAGAGCATGATGTGCTGAATCGATAAGGAGTCCATCTCACGTCAGCAGGATGCCAAGTCTGCTCGGATCCAGCACAAAGACACACACACACACACACACACACACACACACACACACACCGGGGATGGATGACACCTCACCTCTCGTCTGCGACGCGCCGCTAAGAACCACCGAGACGCACAACACCAACTGGATTTCAAATCTCATCTTCTCCTCCTGCGGCGGGTTTCTCTCCTGCAGGACGCGATCAAACGGGGGGCAGAGCGTCTCTCTCTCTCCGCGGCAGCTCTGTTTCTGCAGCTCTGAGGTTGTTTCCGTTACGCGATTTGACAGGGCACATCATCAGCGCTAAAAATATCCTGAGGGAGTCGGGCAGAAGAGGAGCAGGGGTGGGGCTGCGTGGCGGCGAGCAGGCGGCGGTGGCGGCGGCGGGTTGGAAACGAATGAAACACGCACGGCCGCATCCTTAAAGCGCAAAAACGTGCCATCGATGCCTCTGAAAATCCACCACCCATCCGTGCGTGCTCACCCCTCTTGTCTTTTTTTCAGAACCTCTCATGTAAACCTCTTAGGGAAAAACACATCAGGTTGCTGTTGCTCCGCTGCTCCAATCAGATGCCAGTGCGTCAGAGGCGCAGTTGTGTGCGTCAGGAGCGCCTGTTGAGAGCGCAGCGCACAAGTGGAAGCCGTGGGCGCAAGTTTTTCCCGCATTATTCAGCATCGCGGACTTGTTCGGGACGTTGATTCACAAACACGGGCCATGTGAGACTTGAATGTGTGTCAGAGTTTGCCGCGAGCCAACAACTTTTGAGCCCCCGCAGAGGTCAGTGTGTCGTCATGCCGGAGCGCACTGCCCACATGTGGACTGTATGGACAGCTGAGCGACCCCGCTGCGTCCTCTGACAGCCTCATCTGACACACTGAGGACGGTGAATGCGTTTTTGTTATTAGTTCCTCTCACTGATTCAGGCTCTAACTTCTAAAGGACCCCCAGAAGCAACAGGGAGAAACCTTCACGCCAGATGGAGCCTCCAGTCAGCCCTGGAGACGCAACACCGGTGGAGTTGGAGCTAACGGTGGAGAACGTGGAGTCTGTGAGTAACTCAGTGACTGTTTTATGTCATTAAACCTGCAGGTGAGGCCGCTGTGTTACCATCCAAAGCCAAGAGCTGCAGCAGCATCTTCCATTGATATGAAAATCTATTATTTGATCCTGCATTTGGTTTTAGTGGAGCAGAATGGGAGCAGAGGGGGGATCACAGCCAACTGGACCATTTGTAACATGATACCAGCTATAAGCATATGCTGTCCTAATAATAACTGACACCATGTGCTCTGGATTAGCTGCTATGACAACACATTTTTACTCTATTCACACGTCGCATGGATCATAATTAAAGTCGCTCTCTGGTCATTGATTGAACCCCTAAAAACTCATTTTATTTCAAAAGTTTTCTGCCTGAAGAGAACTATTTACCGCGTTAAATTGGCTCTGATTTAACTCTAACATGTAGATCTATGAAGTTCCTGCCTCTCTCTCTCCACTTGTCACTGCACCTCAGCACACCAGCTCACCTTCAACTCCACTCAAACACTGTAAAATTACTCTGTGGTGCAAATATGCAACCATAGAGGCTTCAGGGTAGAAATGCTCAGCTCACGGCTTATTTTGCTCATAATGTGTAACCATATGAACATACTAACGAGGTAAAAAACAACTTGAATGTCGTCTGACTGAGGTTGTTGTAAATGAAGGCCTGCAAATTTAAAGTTAGCTTCTTTTAGCTCTGTATGCGTCAACCTGTCACAGAAGAAAAATAAATCACAGAGCTCACAGTGAGCACCAACTTGGATGTGATTTCTGTCCATTCAAACCAATTCTGATCAATATTCACCAATGTTTGTTGCTAAAATGGGGTTTTTGCTTCCCTCTGACTGTCGCCAAGTGCTTGCTAAAAGGACATCCAAATAAAACTAACTATATGCTATGAGATGACATATGTTGTTAATTGGCGCCATATAAATGAAATGAAATTGAATTACCAGATTGCGTACTTTGTTCCCTCTACGTTGGCGTGTCTCTCCTCCTCCAGGCCCTCTACCAGCTGTACTTTGATCCAGACATGGAGCATAAGAATGTGGCCCAGAAGTGGCTGACCCAGGCCCAGGCCTCTGCACGGGCATGGCACTTCTGCTGGGCTCTTCTCAGCCCTGACAAGGTTTGTTATTGTGGTTTCTCCTCTACAGCTGCATGTTTTGCATGTTCCACTGGTTGAATGTCAGATCTGCAAAACACGCACATTTCATCCGTTGTAATATCAGCATAGTGTGAATATGCGTCTTTGCAGATCCCAGAGGTCCAGTTTTTCGGCGCCAGCACCCTCCACACTAAGATCTCCCACCACTGGAGCGACCTCCCCGCAGACCAGCACGAGAGCCTCCGGATGCAGCTCCTCTCCCACATCTTGCACTTCTCCTCTGGGCCCAAAATGGTCCTGACTCGTCTGTGTGTAGCTCTGGCCTCCATGGCTCTGAACCTAATCCCCCAGGCCTGGTCCCAGCCCGTGGCCGACATGGTGAGGGCGTTCCAACCGCAGAAACCCGACTCTGAAGACGGCGCCGGCTCGAAGGCCTCTCTGGACCCTCAGTCGCACTGCCTGGCTCTGCTGGAGCTCCTCACCGTCCTTCCAGAGGAGTTCCAGAGCAGCCGGCTGGCTCAGGCTCGCCGCGGCCAGCTGAGGGAGGCTCTGGCCGGGGAGTGGGCGGTGGTGTGTCCCATGCTGCGGCAGCTCCTGCAGAGCCAGGACTCCTCCAATCAGGTGAAGGAGAAGGTGCTCCGCTGCCTGTCCAGCTGGGTGGCGCTGGATGTGCCGTTAGGGGAAAGTCACGAACTGGTCCAGGACTGTTTCACTGCGCTGTCCAACCCAGAGCTGTTTGACACGGCAGTGGAGACGATAGTCAACGCCATCTCACAGCCCGACTGCCAGAGGTGAGAAACACGCCGGAGCATCAGGTCTGTAGGTGTTTATGGGTGTGTGTGACTCGGAGTGTCTGTGTGCAGGTACGTCACCGCTCTGGTGAACCTGCTGCCTCTGGTGCTGGGCCTCCACGACCAGCTGAAGACAGCGGCTCAGGATGGAGACATGGAGAGCTCACATGGTATCTGTCGCATCGCTGTTGCTATGGGCGAAACACACTCCAGGTACACACAGACGCACGCGCACGACGCTGTTCGACAAGCAGACTGCAGTGTTTGTCTTTTACTCGTTAATTTGTTTGTGTCTGACAGGGTTTTGTTGGAACAGGTGGACCACTGGCAAGAATATCTGGCTCTGGTGAACATGATCCTGTTCTGTACGGGCATCCCTGGACATTACCCAGTTAGCGAGACCACCAGCTCGCTGACACTCACCTTCTGGTACACTCTGCAGGTATGGAGACGGAAGTAGGTCCAGTAGGTTTGCTTTTTTGTGCTTTTTTGTGCTTTTTTTTTTTTAGCTTTCTCTTTAGTACGTAAGAAATGAGCCAAGTATGCAGTAAATGCATGGTTTGACAAACTCCCTTTCTTATTAATTCTCAACTTTTCAGGATGACATTTTGTCATTCGAGGAGGACAAGCAGGCCGTTTACCTGCAGGTCTACAGGCCCATTTACTTCCAACTGGTGGACGTGCTGCTACATAAATCCCACTATCCCTCCCAGGAGGAGTACGAGTCCTGGTCCTCAGACGACAAAGAGCAGTTTAGAATTTACAGGTACGACAGAAAAATGACGGAAACTTTAAACGAAGCCTTTGGGAGTAGAACAAGTTTGTTTTCTTTCCACAAAAGATGGTAAAATGTGTAGTTTAAGTTAAAATTTGCGGGCAAACATGACTCAGGATCATGCTACTGTCTGCATGTTAACACAATAATAATGCTCAAATAAGATTTTTCTCAGATCATTTTTTGTCATGTTGAGTTTGTGGTTGAACTGACGTCAAACTGAAGTGTTGTGTAAATTCAAATTTGGACGTGTTAGATGCACAGACTGTATAAGAAAGACGGACGTAGCAACCGGCCCTGAAAAATGAAGCCAACCCGAAAGTGTCAAACACCTGCAGTACCACTTTGTCCACTAGGTGCTGGCTCCACAAAGCTCCCTGAGAGCCCAGTTCTAAACAGGACAACACAGATCACGAAAGACACCTGTAATACAGCTCAGGGTTTGTTTTTTTCCCCGTTAGCTTTCATGGTCAAACCCAGAGATCAGGTGGCTAATCTGTAAATAATTCAATATTGAATTTTATATAAATAAGTTTCGGTCATTTGGGGGGTTTGATTGACAGCTTGCTCTGGGATGATTTCTTATCCAGTCTGTGGTTAGATGATGCAGGATGTCGTAGGGATTACAGCGAGGACATGGTTTTGTAGTAAGATGCGCAATAATTGTTGAAAATTGGAACAGATGTGAGAGTCCAAGCTGTGCATTGCATCTTTATGTGGACAGCAGAGGCGGAGGTTTGTGTTGTGTAGAATTAGATTTTGGTGACCACACAAAGCATGCTTTCGACCATAACGTAAGAATTGTATATGCTGATTGGTGCAACATTTCATACAAATATCTTTCCGGGATTAAACGGTGAAGCGATGATGTTTTAAATCCAGAAGGTCAACTGCTGCTTTCTGGTTCGTCAGAGTCACACAACTCGTTTTTCTTTGCAGGGTGGACATCTCTGACACTCTCATGTACGTGTATGAAATGTTGGGGGCGGAGCTGCTCAGTAACCTCTACGACCGACTGGGCAGACAGCTGATGGACCCGCAGCAGGCCGCGGTGTGGCAGGTAATTACCAACTCCCACTGACGCACTTCATGTGAAACTGGAGTCTCTCTATAAGCTGTTGGCATTTGCCCACAGCGGCAACTTCTGCTGTGGTACCGCATTGTTATAGCCACAATAAAAATACATCTATAGATTTATCCAGTCAGCGCAATTGTAATGGCAGTAACAAAACAGCTGATTTCAGGAGCAGGAACTAATTAGCCCCATTAATGTCAACCTGTAGGAGAAAATCCTCCACCTCTATCAGTCCATCACGCTCACTGTTTAGACATCTGCTAAAGTGTAGATACAGTTCAATCAGCTGTCAGTCTACGCTGCAACACATCCCCACTGCCAGCATAGACAAGAGGCTGAAAAAGACGCCGCAGAGACCGAAGTTAGACGACTTCCTTGTTGTTAAAACCCATAAGGGGCACATCTCAGTTCCCTTTATTGCATCTGTGTTTCCCTTTCTTGCATCTGTTCCCTGCATCACAGTGGTTCCCTCTGAATATGTAAGGAAGAGATGTGAGGAAACGAGGAAACGTGTCTTCAGGGAAATGAGCCTGAACTGTCA